ATTATTATTATTATTATTATTATTATGTTTTCCGCACTCTCTCCCTCCCCCTCCCCCTTTTTTCATGATGCCCATTTTGGGTGCCATGGGTGCATTTATCTAATTGAGAACTGATTTTTTCATGGTAGAAGATTCTCACAAAAAACTAAAATTGAGGTGAAAAAGGCTGTGAAACATCCCTAGACCAGACTGACACAAAATGAGCACATTAATTGAATTACTATTCTTTTATTGTAATTTTTAATTAAAATATTTTATGACCTATCTATATAAACTGATAACATTCATTTCAATTTTTATAGTATGTTTAAAATTAATTGACCCTGGAATTGTTTCTGCAAGTTCTTTTCCTGCCAGCACAATCTTAGATCTCTGTACTGAATCTTGTTCTGTTGTCTCAAAAATCTGACATAGACAACATGTACATCACACTTAGCATCACACCCTTAAAAATGAGTACAAAATTTCATGCAAGTAGCAACCTGAGCTTCAGTGAAACTGCAAACGTTAGTCCTGAAACCGAGTGAGTGATAGAACAGCCAGTGTGGCACTGATTCACAAAGTTTTTCTCAGGCTGTTTAGGAGGGAACACAGAAGCAGACAGAAAAAAATTGTTGAGGTCTCTGAAAAAAATGGTTAATTTAAGCACACAATTCATTCCATGGTAGTCAAGTGCTTAAAATCAACTGTTTCCTTTACCTTCCTGTATAATGAGTTACATATTCATGATCCCCTAATTTTTTCCAGATAATGGCCAGAACCTGCTTACCAGAGTCAATAATTCAATTCAGATTCCTCCCCGTTATGCTGCTGAGGGGGATTTTTCTGTGAAAATTGTTGAAAGAAAACAAACTTCTGATTTTGTCTGAATATTTCCACTTGTTTCCCTGTTTTTGGTTGAAAAAAATGTTTTCTGTTTTGGGGTATTCCCCCGTCCACTTTCACATTTCAACTTTGCCCACATTTTTTTCTAGTGAAAAAACCTGCACTTTTTGTTTTTACTTCTTTCCCCTGGAAACATGCATTAATAGTGGCAAGGTAAGGACAAAGTGTTACTTTCTCTCCCTTTCACTTTTTCATACTCATTTCAATATTTTTCTGGTGGAAAAAAAGTTTTGTTTTCCAACTTTCTCTTTAATGTATTATTGTCAGAAAAGTGAGATACAAGTCTATTTCTTTTCCAGTGAGAGAAAATATTTTCTCACGGCTTTAAATGTTCTTTTTACTTTTTTCACATTCTTATGGGCTAAGAAATTGAAATAAAATGGGGGGGGGGAATCTCTCACTTGTTTAACTTTTTCTATTAAAAAAGTGAGAGAAGAGTAAAAGTAAAAGCAAAACTCCATCTTTTTCACTTTTCCAATGCAGTTAAAAACATTAAAATGTTTCCAAATGTGTTCTCTTCCCCCATTTTCTCTCCAAGGTGGAACAAGCAGGTAGGACTATCTCAAGTCTTGTGAAAACGACAAATGTATTGACAGCTTTTTGCAGGGCCTGCTTGACCTCCCTATTTCTCAGGCTGTAGATGAGCGGATTGACCAGTGGGGTCAGAACAGTGTAGAAGACTGAGAACACTTTGTTCAGGGCTTTCAGTGTGTTGGTTTTGGGGAGCAGATACACAATAATTATGGTCCCATAGAAAATTGTCACCACGATGAGGTGCGAGGAGCAGGTGGAAAAGGCCTTTTGCCTGCCGGTGTTGGAAGGGATTCTCAGGATACTGAGAATGATATAAACATAGGACGTCAGGGTAAGAAATGGGGACAGGGTGAATATTGAAGCCAGAATAAGGACTGTGAGTTCAACCAGATGGGTGTCACTGCAGGACAGTTTTATTATTGGGTTGAAATCACAAAAGAAATGGTCAATTTCATTGGGGCCACAGAAAATGAATTGGGACATCATGGAGGTGATTATGGTGCTAGCCAGAAACCCACTTACCCAAGAAGCAGCTGCTAGCATGGCACAGACCTTGCCATTCATAAGGGCTGCATAACGCAGTGGTTTGCAGATTGCTAAATACCGATCATAAGACATCACAGATAAAAGATAACACTCAGCAGCTACCATGAAAGCAAAGAAATTATATTGCAAGAAGCAGTTTCTGATGGAGATGGTTCTGTTCCCAGTCAGGAGACTGGCCAGCATCCTGGGCAGGATGGTGGAGGTGCAGCAGATCTCAAAGCAGGACAAATTCACCAGGAAGAAGTACATGGGGGTGTGAAAGTGCTGATCAGCCACAACTACCATAACAATGAGGATGTTCCCGGCCATGGTCCCAATGTAGATCACTAGAAGGAGCAGGAAGAGAAGAGTCTGTAATTCCGGGATATTTTTGAATCCCAGGAGGATGAACTCTGTGACGGATGTTTGATTTCCCTGTTCTCTATTCACCATGGTTTTATCTAGGGAAAAGGAAATACATGATCAAAAAATAAAGATTATAATTTATTTTCCATTTTCTTTCTCTTAGCTTCCCCTCCCATCTTTAACCTTTCTTGTCTATTTAGATTTGAACCTGCTCAGGTTACTTACTATGTGTTTGTGTAGTGTTGAACACAATGGCAATGTAGCTTTAACCACAACAAAGCAACAACATCAGCAAAATAATAATAACAACATCAAATTAAAGCATAATTTACAATGCTGGGATTTCGCCAGGCTTCTTTCAAGTTTCATGACTTTTGAAAATCTCAGTCTTATTTTTCCCCATTTAATTTGTATCACATTGGTGATTCTTTGCATCTATTTGAATGTGATACTGTTTATCTGTGAAACTCATTGGTGTCGAAAGGAATTTAGGTGGATTAAAAAAAGTGTTAGAGAATTATTGTGAATAATAAGGATATAGCCCATCATTCTAATAGCTAGGACAGAAATTGATAAAAGAATTACATCCTTATTGTTCAGGTTATAGGCAAACATTAGCAAATGGCAGTTATGAAGAAACTTCCATCATTGGTTAATTAATCCATAATTCTCCATTACAGTGATTCTATACTTTCTCCTGGCCACCATGTGATGGAGAACAGTCACCCAGTTTTGAGAGATTCTTTAGTAGCTCTTCACAGTCTGCTTGAGAATTAACTATCTTGAGTAATTTTGTATCATCTGCAAATTTTGCCACCTCACTGTTTACCCCTTTTTCCATATCATTTATGAATATGTTGAATAGTACTGGTCCCAGTACAGACCCCTGGGGGACACCATTATTTACTTCTCCATTCTGAAAACTGACCATCAATTCCTACCCTTTGTTTCCTATCTTTGAACTAGTTACCGATCCATGAGAGAACCTTCCCTCTTAACCTTTGACTCCTTACTTTGCTTAAGAGCCTTTGGTGAGGGACTTTGTCAAAGGCTTTCTGAAAATCTAAGTACACTATATTCACTGGGTCCCCCTTTTCCTCATGCTTGTTGACCCCTTGAAAAAATTCTAGTAGATTGGTGAGGCTTGATTTCCCTTTACAAAAAACATGTTGACTCTTCCCTAGAAATTATGTTCATGTAGGTGTCTGACAATTTTATTATTTACTATAGGTTTAACCAGTTTGCCTGGTACCGAAGTCAGGCTTACCAGCCTGTAATTGCCAGGATCACCTCTGGAGCCCTTTTTAAGAATTGGGGTCCCATTAACTATTCTCCAATCACTTGGTACAGAAGCTGATTTAAATGATAGGTTACAAACTACAGTTAGTAGTTCTGCAATTTCACATTTGAATTCCTTCAGAACTCTTGGGTGAATACCATCTGCTCCTGGTGACTTACAACTGTGTAGTTTATCAATTTGTTCCAAAACCTCCTCTAATGGCACCTCTATCTGGGACAGTTCCTGAGATTTGTTTAAGAAGAATGGCTCAGGTTTGGGAATTTCCCTCTCATCCCCAGCTGTGAAAACCGATGCAAATAATTAATTTAGTTTCTCCACAATGGCCTTATAATCATCTAGTGGCCCCACTGGTTGTTTAACAGGCTTCCTGCTTCTCATGTACTTAATTTTTTTTTTTTCTATTACTTTTTGTGTCTTTGGCTAGCTGTTCTTTAAATTCTTTTTTGGCCTTCCTAATTATATTTTTACTCTTCATTTGCCAGAGTTTATGATCCTTTCTATTTTTCTCATTAGGACTTAACTTCCTTTTTGCCTCTCACTGTTTATTTTACTTTGTTGTTTAGTCATGGTAGCACTTTTTTGGTACTCTTACCATGTTTTTTTTTTTAATTTGGGGTATATATTTATATTGAGTCTCTATTATGGTGTCATTAAAAAGTTTCCATGCAGTTTGCAGGGATTTCAATTTTGGCGCTGTACCTTTTAATTTCTGTTTAACTAACTTCCTCATTTTTGTGTAGTCCCTCTTTCTGAAATTAAATGCTACAGTACTGGGATGCTATGGTGTTTTCCCCATCACAGGGATATTACATTTAATTATATCATGGTCACTATTTCCAAATGGTCCAGCTATATTCACCTCTTGAACCATATCCTGTGCTCCACTTAGGACTAAATCAAGAATTGCCTCTCCTCTTGTGGGTTCCAGGACTAGCTGCTCCAAGAAGCAGTCATTTAAGGTGTCAAGACACTTTATTTCTGCATCCCGTCCTTAGATGACATGTACCCGGTCAATATGGGGATAGTTGAAATCCACCATTATTATTGAGGGTTTTTTTCAAAAAATTATAGCCCCTCTAGTCTCCCTGAGCATTTTGCAGTCACTATCACCATCTTGGTCAGGTGGTTGGTAATATATCCCTACTGCTATATTCTTATTATTAGAATATGGGATTTCTATCCATAGAGATTCTATGGTACAGTTTGGTTCATTTAAGATTTACTTCATTTGATTATACACTCTCTTTCACATATAGTGCCACTCCCCTACCAGCATGACCTGTTCTGTCCTTCCGATATATTTTGTATACCTTGGTATAAGTGTGTCCCATTGATTATCCTCATTCCTTCAGGTTTCTGTGATGCCTATCATATCAATATCCTCATTTAATACAAGCACTCTAGTTCACCCATCTTATTAGTTAGACTTCTAGCATTTTTATTTAAGCACTTTTAGATTTTATCACTTTTTAGCTGTCTGCCACTACATGATGTAATTGAATGTGAGTCTATTCATTTGACTGTTTCTCATCAGATCCTACCTGTATTTTATCATCTTCCATCCTCTCCTCCTTACTAGGACATAGAGAATCTCCATTAATAGATCCTCCCCTGAGGGATGTCTCTGTCTGAACCACTTGCTCCTCCACACGTGTCGGCTTTTCCCCAGCCCATTGTTTAAAAACTGCTTTACAACCTTTTTAATGTTAAGTGCCAGCAATCGGGTTCCATTTTGGTTTAGGTGGAGTCCATTCTTCCTGTATAAGCTCTCCTTTTCCCAAAAGTTTCCCCGGTTCCTTATAAATATAACCCCCTCCTCCCTACACCATCATCTCATCCACACATTGATACCCTGCAGTTCTGCCTGTCTAACTGTCCCTGAGCCTGGGACTGGAAGCATTTCAGGAAATGCTACTATGGAGGTCCTTGGCTTCAATCTCTTACCTAGCAGCCTAAATTTGGCCTCCAGTATCTCTTTTCCATCCTTCCCTATGTCATTGTTAACTACATGTACGATGACCACCAGTTCCTCCCCAGCACTACACATAAGTCATGTGAGCTTGTCATGTTGTATCCCAGGGCTTCCTTCATTTGAGAAGAGAAGTCATGGCTTCACACAGTGGATATAGGTAAAAACACTTCAACCATGATTTTTCCCCTTTCCACTAAGGTTAACCATAACCAGCAAACATGTTAGAAGGTGTTGCTAAGGTCCACATTCAAACACTGAGTTTTTGAATGAGAAACTGAAATTCCCAGTCTAGCCAAACATCTACACTGATCAGTTTCACACAAGCTCCTTTCATATTTCTTAGAGGTGCCTGCCTTATAAGACAAGAGACCCCTCATTCAGGTGACTCATCGATATCTCATATCCAGCATCTGCTGGGTGAAATCCTGGCCCCATAGAAGGGAAGGGGAGTTTTGCCATTGACTTAGGAATGTAGGACATAGGATTCAAAGGGCCCTACTGAGTCATGGAGCCCATTCACCCTGCTGTCATTGGCAACCCCTTCACATAATCCCATTCATAAATGTATCAAATCCCATCTCAAAACTAGTTAAGCTGTTTGCCCCTGTTACTCCTGTTAGAGGCTGTTCCAGAACCTCCCTCTTCTGGTTGTTAGAAATCTTCATCTAAGGGCTTATCTAGGTGAACAACTAGTTCACAGCAAGTTGGTTTGAATCTACCCCACACTAGCCTGCTGTGGACTAACTATCTGAGTGGACCCTGCTGACAGGCATCTAATCCCTTTTCAAAGAGGACTAGATCAAAGCACAGTAATGAACTGTTAGTGAATGTCAACAGGGTCCACAGGGACTGTTAGTCCATGGCAGGGTAGCTTGGGGTAATACACACCCAGTTTGCCATGAACTCAATATTTATATAGACAGTATAAGCCATAAATCCAGACTACATTTATTCCTGGCCAGTTTATCCCCATTTGTTACAGTGCATTTACCTCCCTGATGTATTTATAGAGAGAAATCTCAGCCTTTGTTTTGCTAGGCTTAACAAGCCAAGCTCTTTTAGTATGCTCTGTTCAACAGGGCTGTGATTTCACACAGTAATTTTAATTTTGTTCTCACTTATTTTTTCACTCTAGGAAATTTTGACACATAACAAAACATTTCTTAAATATGGAAGATGATGCTTACCTGAAATGCTAGAATATTTCAAGTTTGGAGCAATGATCTCTCATTGCTCTGGGATTCTGATTCCACTCTCTCTTTCCTCACACATTTAATTACTCACTGAAGAGAAATGTAAATGCCGGAATCACCCAATCTGTCCTGCAACATGTGCTTTCCCTTGTATTTCTAAGATGCAGATGCCCCTTCATTCAGAAAGGAAATAAGACATAAATTTACCATTGGAGCAATATACCAATGGTTGTGGTGGATACTCCATCACTGGCCATTTATAAATCAAAATAAAGTAAATAAACAGAAGTGAAGTCTGGGATCTTCAAAACCACACAGGGGATTTAGATGACCAGTTCTCAATAACTTTGGTGGAAATTTGTCATCTGTATCACTTAGCTAGCTGTCAAATCTCAGCTGAAGAGATGCTTTGACTAGAATTCTTATGCGACTTTGGTGATCAACTGGACCTGGTGGAACTGTTCAGCTTAGAAAGACATGGCTATGCATGGATATGATAGAGGTCAATAAAATCATGAATGGTGTGCAGAAAATGAATAGAAAAGTATTATTTATCCCTTCCTGTAATACAAAAAACAGGGGTCACCCAATGACATTAATAGGCAGCAGGTTTAAAACAAAAAATAGGAAGTATTTTTTCCCACATAAAATACAAATAACCTCTGGAACTGATTGCCACAGAATGTTGTGATGGTCAAAAGTATGACTGGGTTCAAAAATGAACTAGATAAGCTCATGGATGACAAGTCCATCAAACGGCTATTAGTCAAGATTTTCAGGGATGCAACCCTATGCATTGGGTGACCCTGAACCTCTGACTTCCAGAAGCCAGGAAGGAAAGTTAGGGGAGTATCACACCATAATTGTCCTGTCCTGTACACTCCTCCTGAAACACTTGGCATTGGCAACTGTCAGAAGACAGAATACTGGGCTAGATGGACCTTTTGTCTGACCCATTATGGCCGTTCTTATGTTCTTATCTGCTGATGATCTATAATAGGAGATGCCTATGATAGGAGTGTCCATGTGGAGACAGCTGAGGTAGCTGTCCCAGTATACAGGACTGCTGACACACCACTGGTGGAGGAGGAGATGGCTCAGGGTGGACACTGGCAGCTGGTTACTTCTGGCAGTGGGCAGTGCATCACCCCTGCCACGAACGCTCCCACCATGGTAATAGGTAACTGTTATGCTCTTCTTGATACAGGAGAGAAGGAATCACCCCCTACAGTAGAGGAGGAGAAGCCTCGTACCCCTAAGGCTGGGAGGTCTGCTGCCACCACTGCGAATAGGAAACGTAGGGTAGTGGTGGTCGGAGACTCTCTTCTGAGGGGGATGGAGGTGCCCATCTGTTGCCCTAACATTTCATCTTGGGAGATGCTGCCTGCCAGGGCCCCGTATCTGAGATGTTACATAGGCATTGTCAAGGATTATCCAGCCCTCTGACTACTACCCCATGCTACTCATCTATGTGGGCACAAATGATACTGCGAGATGTGACACTGAGCAGATTAAGAGTGACTACAAGGCTCTGGGAGTATGGGTGAAGGAGTTTGGAGTGCAGGTGGTATTCTCTTTGATTCTTCCTGTCAAAGGTAGGGGCCCGGGCAGAGACAGGTGCATCGTGGAGGTGAATGCCTGGCTGCGAAGATGGTGTCGCCAGGAGGACTTTGGCTTCCTCAACCACGGGATGCTATTCCAGGAAGGACTGCTAGGCAGAGATGCCGTTCAACTTTTGAGGAGGGGAAAGACCCTATTTGGACACAGACTGGCTAACCTAGTGAGGAGGGCTTTAAACTAGGTTCGACGGGGACAGGTGAGCAAAGCCCACAGGTAAGTGGGGAACATGGAGACCTGGGAGATGGGTTGGAAATCGGAGGGAGTATGGGCCATAATGGCATAGAGAAAGGAGGGTCAGGGCAAAACTGGGAGGCAAGATCAAATCAGTATCTTAGATGCCTATATACAAATGCGAGAAGTATGGGTAATAAGCAGAAAGAACTGGAAGTGCTAATGAATAAATACAACTATGACATTGTTGGCATCACCAAAACTTGGTGGGATAATACACATGATTGGAATGTTGGTGTGGATAGGTACAGCTTGCTCAGGAAGGATAGACAGGGGAAAAAGGGAGGAGGTGTTGCCTTATATATTAAAAATATACACACTTGGACTGAGGTGGAGGTGGACGTAGGAGAAGGAAGTGTTGAGAGTCTCTGGGTTTGGCTAAAAGGGGTAAAAAAACAAGGGTGATGTCATGCTAGGAGTCTTAAAAAAGCCTCATCCACCTCTTCCACCTGGTTAGGTGGCCTGTAGTAAACAACTAACAAAATCATCCAAAGCCCAAGATTTAGTGGTTATGGAGGACTTCAACTATCCGGATATATGTTGGGAAAATAACACAGCGGGGCACAGACCATCCAATAAGTTCTTGGACTGCATTTCAGACAACTTTTTATTTCAGAAGGTTGAAAAAGCTACTGGGGGGAAGCTGTTTCAGGCTTGATTTATACAAATAGGGAGGAACTCGTTGAGAATTTGAAAGTAGAAGGCAGCCTGGGTGAAAGTGATCCTGAAATCATAGAGTTCACAATTCTAAGGAAGGGTAGAAGGGAGTACAGCAAAATAGAGACAATGGATTTCAGGAAGACTGATTTTGGTAAGCTCAGAGAGCTGATAGGTAAGGTCTCATTGGAATCAAAACTGAGGAGATTTGACAGTTTTTCAAAGGGACACTATTAAGGGCCCAAAAAACAAGCTATTCCACTGAGTAGGAAAGATAGGAAATGTGTCAAAAGACCTCCTTGGCTTAACCACGAGATCTTGCATGATCTAAAAAATAAAAAGGAGTCATATAAAAAATGGAAACTAGGACAGATTACAAAGGATGAATATAGGCAAACAACACAGGAATTCAGGGGCAAGATTAGAAAGGCAAAGGCACAAAATGAGCTCAAACTGGCTACGGGAATAAAGGGAAACAAGAAGACTTTTTATCAATACATTAGAAGCAAGAGGAAGACCAAGGACAGGGTAGGCCCACTGCTCAGTGAGGAGGGAGATACAGTAACAGGAAACTTGGAAATGGCAGAGATGCTTAATGACTTCTTTGTTTCGGTCTTCACCTAGAAGTCTGAAGGAATGCCTAACATAGTG